AATGTTATGCAGTATTATGTAATGTAATGCAATGTAATGTAATGTATGAATGTATGTATGCATGTATGTATTGCAAGTGTGTATATGTGTATGTGTATTCTCCATAAATATATATATATAAATATATATATCTGAAACCTGTCGGCCATACACACTTGGAAAAGGTATTGATGCACAACTATTCAAACAAAGATCACAAAGACATCAGGTTGGGCTAGCTCAGCAGTTCCATGTTCAAATGGCTCATGTATCCACAACGAAAAGCTTTTCCCCTTCTAGATTCAGATTCAGTTCTCAAGTTGCACAATATTGCTACAAATATTGTGCGGTTACAAATTTGACTTCAGGGATCATGCCATGGACCAAATATGCTTTAGATGCCGAGGCTCAGGGGTGTCGCGACAAGCACACTGCGAATGAATCAGCAGCGTTTGAGGAGCCATGCATAACCAGGCAGACCTGAGGCCATGCTGGGCTCATGTGAACACAACACCTTCTCTTATTTTTCGAGTGCTTGGCTTGCCTCATGATACCTCATCCGTGTTCAACGAGGTATCTCAAGATGTCAAGTGATGTGGAGACGCGGGCACCTGGTCCCAATCAGCCGCTCCTGATATGATGTACAGCAATCTGGCAAAGGCATTGAGCACCAACAAGCAGCTGCAAGCAAAGGTCACTGATGCAGGCAATCAAGACATGCCACAAAGGTTCAAACATATACATACTCGAAGGAAGTTTAGAAGTCAAACTTCCGACAATATGCACAGATGAAAAGCAGAGTAGGGCAGAGGCAGAGAGAAGAGAAAGATTGGAAGAGAGACGAGTAGAAGAGAAAGAGTCATAAGAAAGAAGATGCAGATGCGCGAAAAGGTAGGAAAGTCGCGAAACACTATGTTTTTGCAATGATTTGTGGCTCCGGAGGGTCGAACAGTAGGCTCGCTAAAGCGGCGGGTGCGCAGCCAGCTGGCCAGATGAGAGATGAAAAATTGCACGCCGTTGTGGCGCGAAGCACATTTCCAAGTCAAAATGTACAAAACACACCATGGTCGGACCACTTTTGGAAGTTGAGATGTCGAAAAAGTGCACGCCATTGTGGCGCGAAGCACATTTCCAAGTCAAAATGTACAAAGCACACCATTCTCGGACCACTTTTGGAAGTTGAGATGTCAAAAAAGTGCACGCCGTTGTGGCGCGAAGCACATTTCGAAGTCAACATGTTAAAAACACCAGGGGTTCGGACCACTTTTGGAGGTTCAGATGTTGAAAAATTGCACGCCGTTGTGGCGCGAAGCACATTTCGAAGTCAAAATGTAAAAACACCAGGGTTCGGACCACTTTTGGAGGTTCAGATGTCGCTTCGCGTGGCAGGCGCAAGGGATTGTGCACCTTGTCAAAAGTGAGCAAAACGTGAGGGTTTTGTAGCATTTTCAAGTACAACCACCACTACACCACTCTACACTCCAACACATTACACCACAACTACAACTACAACTACACCTTCACTACATTCTACTACACCACACTCCACTACATTACACTGCACTCAATTACACTACACTACACTACACTACATTACACTACACTCCACTACATGACGCTACACTACACTACCTTCCACTACACTTCACTACATTACACTACACTACACTCCGCAACACAACAACTACAACTGCACAACACAACACTCCACTACACTAAATTACACTCCATTACACTAAATTACACTACACTACACTACATTACACTAAACTACACTCCACGACACTACATTACACTACACGACACGACACGACACTACACTACATTACACTACCCTCCACTACACTATACTACATTACACTACACGACACTACCTTCCACTACACTTCACTACATTGCACTACACTACACTCCACAACACTACAACTACAACTACACAACTACACTCCACTACACTAAATTACGCTACACTACACTACACTACATTACACTACACTACACTCCACTACACTACACTACATTACACTACACTACACGACCTTCCACTACACTTCAATACCTTCCACTACACTACACTACACAACACTACAACTGCAGCTACAGCTACAACTACACTCCACTACACTAAATTACACTCCACTACACTAAATTACACTACTACATTACACTACATTACACTATATACATTCCACTACACTCCTTTACACTACACTACATTACACTACACTACATCACACTGAATGACACTGCACCGCAGATAAACAGGTAGACAGATAGACAGACAGACAGACAGACAGACAGATAGATAGATAGATAGATGGACAGATAGACAGATAGAAAGATAGACAAATAGATAGAGAGACAGCTAGATAGACAGCTAGATAGATAGATAGATAGATAGATGGGCAGATAGACAGATAGACAGATAGACAGATAGACAAATAGATAGAGAGACAGCTAGATAGATAGATAGATAGATGGATGGATGGATAGATAGATAGATAGATAGATAGATAGGGAGATAGATAGACAAATAGCTAGAAGACTAGACAGCTAGATAGATAGGTAGATAGATAGATGGATAGAGATAGATCAGTAGGTAGGTAGGTAGATAATCAGAGAAAGATAGAGAAACAGAGAGAAAAAGAGAGAAAGAGAGAGAAAGAGAGAGAAAGAGAGGAGACCTCAAGCACCTTTCAGTCCATCAGTGGCTTTGCTCTGCCATCCCTGATTCACAACAACCAACCTCTCCTATAGGTTTCCTATTTTTGAAACTTCCGCCACCGCCTTGTGCGGTACTACTGGTATAATGTTGAGTACCGATTAGTGTCTTGGGCGTGTATTGTGAAACAATTTCCAAAGATTATTGAGCATCTTTTGGCCGGGGAAAGGAACTCTATTGTGAGACCTAACAATTTCCAAAGATTATTGAAAAACAGCGCCCTAACAATTTTTCAAGGGGATTCCCTTATGAGTGACCTAGATCCTCAATAATGTAATTGTTTGGATGGCACCCTATTGTGCGCAAAAACTGTTGGGGCATTTTTTAAAGATTTAAAGGAAAATCAATTGAACGTAGATTCAAACGAATTGAAAGCAAATTGTTTTCAATTGAAGCCCTTTCTTACCAATAGATTTCTTTGAGGTTCAGAAGGAAAACCAATTGAAAGTAGATTCATATGAGTTGATTCTCTGAGGTTTAAAGGGAAAAGCAATTGAACGTAGATTGATTTCAATGGAAGGCCTTTCTTATCAATAATTTTTGAAGTTTAAAAGGAAAATCAAGTGAAAGTAGATTGATGCCAATTGAAACCCTTACTTAAGTTGACCATCCTGAATTCCCCAGACCTGGTCCCCAAGAACGTGCCGAGTTATTGAGTAGACCAAAATTGTCGAGGGGGGCCCTACGCTTATCAGTATCCAACATTAATCATGATATGTATTTATTGCTATAATATTCCAATCGAGACTGGATTTCGATTTTAGGCTCAGTCTTTGGGCCATTTTTGGGCCATTGTGGGTCGCTAGCTGCCCTGAAAGCATCTCAATTTTGAGACCAACCGCTCTTAGCCGTTTGAACCCCCCACCTGAGCATCCACGAGAAGACTTTCTTCCCCTGAATGACGGCAGCAGTTGACCCCTTCTCCTTGGGCTTGGAGCTGTGCTGCTTGGATTGGAGGGGCACCGAAAACATCAACGTTGGGACCCAAATTTCGAGAATGGACGCCCGCTTAAAGTTTCATTCGCTACTTCCTTCCTCTCGTTACTTCCTTCCTGTTGTTTCAACTCTTCCCTTCCGATCGCTACGTCTGTCTTGTCGTTTCAGCTCTTCCCTTCCATTCGTTGCTTCCCTCCTTTCGTTTCACCTCTCCCCTTTCTTTTGTTACTTCCTTCCTTTCATTTGTTACTCCTTCCTTGTGTTACTGTCTTCCTTTTGTTTCGCGTCTAGCATTTTATTCATTACTGTCTTCCTTTCGTTGCAACTCTCCCGTTTCATTTGTTACTTCCTTCCTTTCGTTTCAACTCTTCCCGTTCATTCGTTCTGGCCTTATATTTGTGACAATCTTCCTTTCGTTTCACCTCTCCCCTTTCATTTGTTACTCCCTTCCTTTCGTTTCAACTCTTCCCTTTCATTCGTTCTGGCCTTTCATTCGTTATTGCCCTTCATGCGTTACCGTCTCTCTTTCGTTTCACCTCTGGCTTTTACGCGTTACTGTCTTCCTTTTGTTTCACGTCTGGCCTTTTATTCATTACTTTCTTCCTTTCGTTGCAACTCTCCCCTTTCATTTGTTACTTCCTTCCTTTAGTTTCAACTCTTCCCGTTCATTCGTTGCAGCCTTTTATTCGTTACAATCTTTCTTTCGTTTCACCTCTGACCTTTCATTCGTTATGGCCCTTTATGCGTTACCGTCTTTCTTTCGTTTCACCTCTGGCTTTTTATGCGTTACTGTCTTCCTTTTGTTTCACGTCTGGCCTTTTATTCGTTACAATCTTCCTTTCGTTTCACCACTCCGCTTTCATGTGTTACTTCCTTCCTTTCGTTTTAACTCTTCCCGTTCATTCGTTATGGCCCTTTACGCGTTACCATCTCTCTTTCGTTTCACCTCTGGCCTTTCGTGCATTACTTTCTTCCTTTCGTTGCAAGTGTCCCCTTTCATTCGTTACTTCCTTCCTTTCGTTTCAAGCGGCTGCAAGGAGCGGCTGCACGTGGCTGCAAACGGATGCATATGAATGCAAGTGGCCGCAAGACCACTTGCTCTAGCCGCACCTAAAATCCCGTTGCAAGGCAGGCTTGACAAAAACGCGATTTGCGGGAACACTGATTTTTTGTCGAGCTTTGAGGAGTGGAGCAATCGGGACTGGCATTTGCAATCCAATGCCAAGCAGCACACTGCGGCCACTTGCGGCCACTTGCGGCCACTCGAGTGGCTGCAAGGGGTTGCGTTTTTGAAATTCAAATACCGCACCTTTTGCAATCTCAATGGGAACTCAGGTAGAATGCAGGGCACTTGCGAGGATAGTGGTGGTGATGTTGATAACGACGAAGACGTTGATGAAAAAATCACAAAGAATATGATGATGATAATTTTGGGAAGCAAAGATTGGGATGATGAACAACGTTAAGAAAATGAGGATTAGGACGATGATGTGGCTAAGCGGATGATGAGAGCTGCGGCTTTAATGTCTACAACATAACGCCCTCAAGGGCAAACAGCAACAACATCATCATCATCATCAACAACAACAGCAACAGCAACAACAGCACCAACAACAGCACCAACAACAGCACCAACAACAGCACCAACAACAGCACCAACAACAGCACCAACAACAGCACCAACAACAGCACCAACAACAGCACCAACAACAGCACCAACAACAGCACCAACAACAGCACCAACAAACGCAACAACAACAACAACAACAACAACAACAACAACAACAACCAACAAACAACAAACAACAACAACAACAACAACAACAACAACAACAACAACAAACAACAACAAACAACAACAAACAACAACAAACAACAACAAACAACAACAAACAACAACAACAACAACAACAACAACAACCACAACGACAACGACAACGACAACGACAACACCAACAGCAACAGCAACAGCAACAGCAACAGCAACAACAACAACAACAACAGCAACAGCAACAGCAACAACAACAACAACAACAACGACAACAACAACAACAGCAACAACACAGCAGCAGCAGCAACAACAGCAACGACAACGACGGCAACAACGGCAACAACAGCAACAACAGCAACAACAGCAACAACAGGAACAATAGCAACAACAAGAACAACAGCAACAACAAGAACAAAAACAAGAACAACAACAACAAAAACAACTACAACTACTACTACTACAACTACTACTACTACAACTACAACAACAACAACCACAACCACAACAACCACAACCACAACCACAACAACAACAACAACAACAACAAATGCAGGCAACAACCTCTTCGAATCTCTACCAAATGGTAGGAACAAGGTGCATGAATAGACCAGGATTGAAACTGCGACCATTTAAGAAGGGTGAGGGGCGAAAGTGAACAATCCTTTATAAGCGAAAGAAGTCCCTCCTTCTGCCCTGCAGAGGAAAATCTGCTAAAGGACTGAAAACTCAGGTAGCTGACGCTACCTTTCGCGAGTATCAAAAAAAACAGCAAAAAAAGACTGCAAAATACCAGGTCTCCATCACCTGCATTAAGAACTCGTCATAAGCTTCCAGCACTCTTGGGATCAGCTGCGTTTTGGGCGTGCGTGTAACATTCCAGAAGCGCGTCGCCGACAGCCGACGCAGGGCAACCCAGATCGGGTGTGCAGCCGCCGAATTCGAGGCCAAACGGTGGAAGTGGGACACGGACCAATGACCCGGGATCCATGGAAATGAATGATCCATGGGCAAGGAACATGGCAAGGCAACGCGGTTCAAATCCAACAAGTGAACACTACCTCCGGTAACGGTGAGTGGGTAAAACTTAAAAGTTTAATGTAATTTACACAGACTAGATGAGGCAACGCTTCAAGTTTACAAGTGTGTGTGTCATTACCGTTAGGCCAAACAATAGCGCCAAGCCGTTCAAATATGATTGAACATGCACCGGCATAACAGCTACACACTACGCACTACACACTGACTGTGCCTTGAAAGCCAAGCCAAGTCCTTTCACGCTGCAAAGGCTTCTGAAACAAGAGAAGGGCCAGGGAGAAAACCACAAGAACTGGGATAGATCCAGGATCATGAGTGTCTGCGAATAGACAATTTAAACATATTAAAACCAGCATCCACCAAATTGCCAACAAGTGGAACTTTACAGAAGCTGTTGGTGGTGCTCAATATCAAGAAATGGGGAACAATATATAAGCGAAATGAATAAGGAAAAAGCAATAACAGCGGGGGATTCCAGCAAAATGGTACCGTTCAGAACTGGCCTACACAGAAGCAAAAGCTCCTCAATCCCAAGCAGGCTGCCCTCACAATGCCAAAACTTGCACCTGAAACTCCAATCTTAAATCTGAAATACCAGGTACGAGGACCATGGACTAAAACTGATTGGCGGGGTGATCCGAAACAAAATCTTGCCGAAATCTTGCTGAGGCATTCTGAAGAAGAAATTCAACCAATTTCAGTCGTAGCCGTCCAACAATCACAAAGGCCAACAGCAAACCATGCAAAAAGAAAACTCCGAGTAGTGAACAAAACCAAACCTCTGCATGAGAATTTTGGCAACCGCAAAAGCTTGTCAAGTCACCTCGTTGTATCCTAGGCTTCCTTGCACGTGCGAGGGCGGTGCCAGCAGCATTGTGGACACTTGTTCCCGCAATACTAAAAGCAAAGCTGAAAACAAATTGGATTTGAAGGAGGGTTCAAAGAGGGGGCTGCCGGACCCTTTTTCAAAGTCCGTAGACTTGAATTGCCCCATACCTGAAAGCGTTACAAAATATTTGTCGAGGAGTCAAATTCAGATTTGGAGCTCTGTTTCGGACATTTTTCTGCAATGTTCTGCACTCAGCATCTATGAGAGCGTCTCCAGAGACTGATGTTTCAAGTTCCAACTACGCTCTGCAACAGCAGCTCGATGCCTCTGCAACACTTGACCAAAGACCCGTAAAACGATTGCAGCAAAAGCTGTTGTGCGGATGGGGCAACCCACTATTCAGCTGTCAAAAACATCATCTTCTGAGAAGCCCTCCAAAAATAAAGAGCCATCATCCTTTTGGCGATTGGCGCAGTGAAACCACAGGAAATCATCGCCTTGGCAAACAGAGACGAAGGGCTTTTTGCTTGTCCGATGAGACTGGCAGTTGTGATGATGATCCTAGAATATTCTAGGATTCTAGAAGCATTGGAGAACATAACGTGTTTCAGAATTCAGGCCATTGGAACCCACGCGCTCGCAAAATTAAGGTCTTGGCTCAATGTCGCGAGGATCGCGCTTCTCTGCAGAAGCCTGAAACATGTCTTATGTCTTAAGTTGTTGCTTGACCTGCAGACAAACCAATCACATTTTGATTCCAAAATTAAAAGGTCCGAGTGCAAATGCAACAAAAACACTTTTGGCCCATGGAAGTAAAAGCAGAGGGACAAATAAGTCCAAGTAAGGGGGGACAACGCAATGAATGTAGTCAAACAATCGAAGCTGCCCAGTTGGACTGCTGTTGATTTGGAAGTCCAACAACTCTGGTTGTGACATTGGGACGCGCTTTTGTGAGCCGAGTTGAGAAGGGCAAATACAGTTCATTGGTCTTTCAAGTTAGATGAGCTATCGGGTGCTTTCACGACCAGCCTGGACCGGTAGCCACATATGATAACCATCTTCAAGGAGCTGCAGAATGATTAGGCATCGCGACATCACCGTTTCAGAATGCTGCATCTAGTTCGCACTCAAATCCGACAGCGCCTCATCCCCAACGCTATCCTCCGAGACCTTCAGTGATGGTATGCGGGTGCGGGTGATCGTATTTGCGTTAAAACCCTTCACGAAACTTAAATTAAGACAGGGGGGCACGAAACCAGAGAAGATGCAAAGGGTGTTGATAGAACAAAGGAAGGTCAAATCATAAACCTCAAAAGTCCTCCCTCCTTCCCACAGTGGCCTTGAAATTTGGCAATGATCACTCGTATTCCTGTCTAGAAGTTTGCTCTTCTGCAGCTGCGAAAACTTGCAGCACTTTCAGGAAGTGGTCTTCAGCCCGGTCCCTTCCCTTGCACTATAAGGCATTAATTACTATCTATAAGGCATTAATTACTATTTGATACCAGTAGTGCCGCACAAAACGATAGCGGAAGTTCAAAAATAGGAAACCTATAGGAAGGGTTGGTTGTTGTGACTCACGGATGGCAGAGCGAACCCACTGATGGACCGAAAGGTGGTTGGAGTTGTGTTTTCTGCAGAGGTTGCAATGGTTGCAGCGGTCACCTCGCCACAACTGCTGGATGTAGTGTGGTGTAGTGCAGTTGTAGTTGTAGTGGAGTTGTAGTTGTAAGTTGTAGTTGTAATGTAGTGTGATTAGCGTAGTGTAGTTGCAGTCGTAGTTGTGGTGTGGTGTAATCAGTGTAGTGTATTGTAGTGTACTGTAGTGTTGTGTACTGTAGCGGGGTATAGTGTAGTGTAGTCTAGTGTATTGTAGTGTAGTTGTAGTTGTAGTGTGGTGTCGTGTAGTGCAATGTAGTGGTAGTTGCAGTTGTAGTGTAATGTGATGTAATGTAATTAATGTAGTGTAGTGTTGTGTAATGTAGTGTGGTTGCAGTTGTATTTGTAGCTGTAATGTAGTGCCGTCTAATTAGTGTAATGTAGTGTAATGTAGTGAAGCTGTACTTGTAGTTCTAGCTGTGGTGGTGGTGGTGGTGGTCGTAGTAGTAGTAGTAGCAGTAGTAAGTAGTAAGTAGTAAGTAGTAAGTAGTAAGTAGTAAGTAGTAAGTAGTAAGTAGTAGGTAGTAGGTAGTAGGTAGTAAGTAGTAAGTAGTAAGTAGTAAGTAGCAAGTAGCAAGTAGCAAGTAGTAAGTAGCAAGTAGCAAGTAGTAAGTAGTAAGTCGTAAGTCGTAAGTAGTAAGTAGTAAGTAGTAAGTAGTAGGTAGTAAGTAGTAGGTAGTAAGTAGTAAGTCGTAAGTAGAAGGTGGTAGGTGGTAGGTGGTAGGTGGTAGGTGGTAGGTGGTAGGTGGTAAGTGGTAAGTGGCAAGTGGCAAGTGGTAAGTGGTAAGTGGTCAGTGGTCAGTGGTCAGTGGTAAGTGGTAAGTGGTAAGTGGTAAGTGGTAAGTGGTAAGTGGTAAGTCGTAAGTAGTAAGTAGTAAGTAGTAAGTAGTAAGTAGCAAGTGGCAAGTGGCAAGTGGCAAGTAGCTAGTAGTTAGTAGTTAGTAGTTAGTAGTTAGTAGTTAGTACTTAGTAGTTAGTAGTTAGTAGTTAGTAGGTAGTAGGTAGTAGGTAGTAGGTAGTAGGTAGTAGGTAGTAGGCAGTAGGCAGTAGGTAGTAGGTAGTAGGTAGTAGGTAGTAGGTAGTAGGTAGTAGGTAGTAGTAGTAGTAGTAAGTAAGTAAGTAAGTAAAGTAAAGTAAAGTAAGTAAGTAAGTAGTAGTAGTTGTTGTTGTTAGTAGTAGTAGTAGTAGTCGTAGTTGTCGTCGTTGTCGTCGTCGTTGTCGTCGTCGTAGTCGTCGTAGTAGTCGTCGTAGTAGTCGTAGTCGTAGTCGTAGTAGTAGTAGTATAGTAGTAGTAGTAGTCGTCGTCGTCGTCGTCGTAGTAGTCGTAGTTGTTGTCGTAGTAGTCGTAGTCGTAGTCGTAGTCGTAGTCGTAGTCG